TTGTGCTTTACTAAATGTAGGTATTGATATATTAAAGTGTGTAATTCTAGAAATGCTATTGCAATTAAAAGCTATTGTCTTCAGGTTGATGATTTCACTTGTATTGCTGTCTTTTTTTGCCCCATCCCAATATACTGCTTAATTAATGTTACCAGTACATTTGGTAATATGCCAAATTTTAAAGAAAATGACTTTAGTTCAAGAGCCTAAGTGAAATGGTGTAACTATTAATTTCTTAATTTACTTCATGAAATTAAAGGACTGTTCTATGGGTGTGCACAATGAGTGGAAGTATTTGAATGCATAATGTGATAATCACCCGTTAATGTGGATTACACTATTCATCCACATGTGGGTTTTTTTTAGCTCCGCTGTTGACTTTGTCATGCAGAGCTACAAGTGATTGTCTGCTGTCGTCCGTGTCAATGTTTTACTTTTTCGGCTTCTTCTAGAAAACTACAAGCCTGAATGCTTTGATATTTGGTGTATATGTACCTTGGGTAGGCTTCTTAGATTTGTTCATTTCGTGGTATCTTCAATTCTCTCATTTTGATGAATATTTTTGTAATTTTTCATAAAAAGTGATATTTTCGACTTGTTAAAAACAGCACATCCATTTCCTTTGATATTACATATATAGGTACTACATGTGGACCTCTCTCAGATTTGTTTATTTCGTGATATCTTCAATTATCTAATTTTGATAAATATTTTGGTGAAAAGTGATATTTTCAAATTTTTGCAGAAAACAGCAAGTCTGATTACTTTGATACTATACATATTGTTCATTTTCTAATGATATTTTCAGTTCTTTAATTGTAAAGTGCATTGCTAACAGCAGAGCTATCTCAGCCGATAGGCTGCTTGTTTTTTTTACATGTGGACTTTGTCTGGAATCACAAATAAAATATTCCCTGCTACAAAATTCCTTGGTCCGACTTGTGCAGTTGAAGTTATTTTTATTTTCCCAGAATGCATTTGCTTTTGGATTTAATTTATTGTTTCTTTAACTTTTGAAGGGTGATATCAACAGTATTGTTACGTTTGACTCATAAAATCTGCAAAATAAAAGTGGTTTACAGTATATAAAATGTGCGCACACTGGTTTGTTGATGAACGCCAAGTAATTTAAACAAATGTTTTCATTTGTTCGGATCAAAGTGACACGAATGGGACTTGAAATTTAGTTTAAATTGTCAAAAATTGATTACAGACCTTGACCCACTTGTACGAGATGTATGTGAGTTCACTGCATGTGATTATTTTGTTCTGTTGTGATGTGTCGCCCTTGTTAGTATGTCATAATCTGCCTACTATACTCATAAGCACTTAGCGTAAAACA